ACCTATTTCAAATTTATATGTAAGTACATATTCAAACTGGAAGCATTGGGACATAATAATTAGATATGTTAAATATGAATTTTTTCGACGATGATTTGGTCCCGAAGAACTTTTCACAGCCTTTATCTAAAGCAGCCATTTTGATGGACAATTTAGTAAATTCTTAGTAGTATTAAACAAAATGTGAGGACCGTGAAATACGGTGAAGCACTGATGGTACCGAAGTAGGTACCTACCTACCATAAATTAATAAAGATAGGTAATGTATTTTTTTTTAATTTTAATGTATAGTCATTATTATAAAGTTACTGCAAAATAGGCTTAAGTACAACCATTGGCTGAAACTATCATCAATATGAATCAAGACGGGAATTACAAAATACTTGTAGGTACTTACTAAGTAGGTTTGTATATTCCCTAACATTTTTTCACGTTATATGACATATTGTGAGTATGTTTAACATATCATTACACCTAGACCCAGAACAACAATTTGTGGATCACAATATAATAGTTGTTCCATGCGGGAATAAAACCAGCAACACGTTGCGTGACAGCCGATTGCCCATTGCCCAGCCAGTGAATCAACCTTACAATTAAAGTTTTAAATCACATCTGAATAAGAAATGAAATCCACAAAAACTGAAATTTAAATGAATCGTGTGGTGCATGTTTGAGAATACAGAAAATTCATTATCCAACACAATGCTGTGTTGAATTCTTCAAATTACACAATGTGTAAGATGGCGACGTGTACTTTTGGCGGGAACAGTGACGGACGAAGCGGAAAAAATATCTGCACAAAAAGGCACAGACAATAGTCGTTTTTTTTTTAATTTGAATACTACACGTAAACAACAATGGATGGACATTTTTTTTGTTTCATCTCATCTAGCATCCAAGATCTTTATTTGCAGATTATGATAAGGTTTAGATAAATGCCCACTTAGTTGAATTTTTCTTCTGTTTCATACAATTATTTGCGACGTTTATTTAATTTGTTGACCTTGCAGAGAGTACCTTCAAAGATTATTCTGTTATTTGTCTACAGTATTTAATTTTCATATGAAGCGTGTTTTCTGTTACGATAGTTTAATAAAAAAAAATTAGTGCCCTTGTCGTAAATAAATAAAGTAGTAGGTATTTGAATGGTGTGTGTGTGTTTGTCTGTTTGTGGAAGTATTAAATGTCTAGGAAATTGTTATCTATTTGGTATTATCGCGCCTTGTTTAGACAGTTACGAACCGTTTCTTGATGTTTCTAGGAATTCTAGAAATATATGTGTATCATAGCGTAAGCCACGCCATAAAACATCACTTCTTTAACACTCATTAAAATCCATAAGTTTTAACTGAAATGCGAAATAAAAATGAAAGCCATGTTTAAGAGAATTACATTTTACACGGGATTCAAACTGAAATCCTTTTGAAATGGAAAGTTTTGTTAAGAAACTTTCTAAATTATTTCAAATACCTACACATTTCTGTTTATATTTAATTACATAACAGGCTTACAACGCACAGTGATTCATTTAATATCCACCTAGACCTTACTTAAACTAGAAATATAATGCATTAATTTAAACGCATAAACATAGGCGTCAAAAAAACAGTCGTATATGCTAGAGACCCTAGCAGCCAATGACGATGTGGTTATATCCTCTATGCTTGCAGAAAACGAGCAGATGCATGACTAAAATAGTTCGGAGTGCATTGCTGGCCTTTTGAGGTTAGGATTTTGTGGGTTATGGGAATTGGGGATGGATATCCCCCTTTCAGGTCTCTTATATGAAGCCGGTTTTCTGTGTGACCCTCTGGTCGAGCAAGCCCACTTGTGCCAAAGCATGTCTCTCCCACACTTAAACGTTCGAAGTCATGTAAAATCATTCTGTCTATATCAAATTTGGTATAGGAATGTGTGCATGTATGGTGTGTATATGTATGTATTTAGAGAGGGGTCTCCAATTCTCGTCATTAGGCCACTTGCCGCTAACACCCGTGGGTGGCGTTCAATTACATGAGCTGCGATTCCGACCGAATCATTACTACGTACCTACCTACGTTTATTTATTTCAAAGCTTTATATGTTTATTTCACCGTTACCGATTTGGCTGAAATGTAGTGTGTAGATAGGTGATAGATAGGATAGGTGATACCGTTTTTTAAGTAAGGGGAAAGTCATCAAATGAATTCTCCGAAGTTTCAGACGCTTTCTGACTATAACACCCCGTTCCTTCTCCTGGTCAAAGCCGAGGCCGCGGTGATTATTACTGCGCTTACCCAGCAACCCCGCAGATAGGTGATAGATACCCTGGATTAACACATAGGCTGTTTTTTGAAACCACGGGCGTAAACTTCTATAAATCGCAAAAAGTGTAGCAGACTTTTTCTGATTATGTTTTTCTTTTCCAAGTAACTCTAGACTCAACTCAAGGTGGATGCATTTTCCAGATTTTCAGTTTTTTTTTATACCGTTGCCTTGTTACCAACTTTCCACTTTTATCACTCCTATGGCTGGATATTTGCCATAAGTACTTAGAATTTTTAAAACATTAGAGTGACAACATCTTTCTTTAAGTGTGGGAAAACGCCTACCTACTCGGAACAATACAGTCGTTGTGTTTTACCATGTGAATGAGGTTTTCGGAGGCCCAACAGATACTCCCCCTCCCCATTTCCCAATATCCAATTCCCAAATCATCTAAGCAACTCAGTAACTCATCTGGTGTTTCAGGTGTCTAAGGACGGAGACGATTGTTTACCGTCAGGCAGCAAAGACAGCTTATTTAAAGATAGCATGACAATAACAAACCTACCTACCCTGTGTCCATTAGCACTTATTGTGTTAACTAAGCCGTGGGTAGTGAGAGCAGCTGAACTCAACTCGGTTAGTGGAAACAGTATGAGTTCAAAGCAGAAGTTTAATTTTGTACAAAGCTGAAAAATTCTGTAAAAAAATACGAATACTTAAAAAAATGCATAACTCATAAAAATAATCTATGGATTCTGAGTATTAGGATTAAGGTCTCAAACTTCCATTCCAACTAATCCAAGGTACCGCGATTCGCTGCCCGGCTTGGGGCAGGATAAGGATGACATAGGTACCTTCTTGGCCCAATATCTTACACTCACAGTACAGAACAGAAACCACTCTGATCTGTGGTTTCATGGGAAGGGCATTGAGTTGAGTGGCTTGCTATTGGAGAGGCATAAGTCCAGTAGTGGATGGAAACACCATCTTCAACTTTTAAACCTAGCCAAACATAGCAAGGAATTTCTGCTGTGTTGTGGATGCTTTGACAAACATACACAATCATACCCAGACCCAGAAAAACAATCTGCGGATTGAACAAAAAGTAGTTACCGTACGGGAATCGAAGTTTCTTGTCAGACAGTTGCATGAACAAATCCTTAAACATAATGTTCCTTATTATTGTGCTACCGTTTTTTGTGAGGGGAAAATCATCAAATGACTTCTCCCGCCCAGGGCCGGGCGGGAGGGAGTGTCAGACTCTTACTGACTAAAAACCCCCCTGTTCCTTCTCCTGCTCTAGGCCGAGGTCGCGGTGCCTCATTGCGCTTACCCCGCAACCCCGGCTGATTGTGCTACCGTGGAGTAGACATTCTGTATTTCAGTTTCCAGTGGTATAACAATGTTACATAGTGATTTAATTCGATATGTCGGAAACTTGGCGCCTGTCTGCCCTCGATAGGGATACAGATTAAAGGGTCGGTTAGCTGAAAGAGTGGCGATAGAGTATCTTTTGATTGGTGGATGATATAAATGTGTTGCTATCTTGATATTATGATACCTACCTAGTTTGATTGTGTTTGGAAGTTAGAGAGGAACTTAAAACGTACCTATAGTTTTTTGTCTCCTCATGTTTAGTAGATTGAGTATTCGAGGATTTCGACGGAATAAACATGAGTTGATTATTCCATTTTATAATTTTGGATGTGGCAGGACTTGTACCTTAACTTTTAAATAGATCCTGAAAATATTGTTAAGTAAATGTAATACCATTTTACTGGTATCAAAAGTAGTTCGGCTGTAAGAACATTTTCCAACGACGAAATTCCTGTTGTTGTTCGAATTGAAAAAAACCAAAACGCATTCACTGAGTAATAGTTATTATTGGAAGTCAGGGCACATTGAGAGAAAGATAACAAGTTGATTATAAAATGACGCATGCTTGCGGCTCAGGGTTAATCACCTTATAAACATTAAAAAGTCAAGTCATAAGATAAAAAAAATACCAGTTTGCTATAGAGAGAACTTGGTGACAATTTCTTCTTAGTCCAATTAATTCAATTTTATATTTAGAATTCCAAGATGGCTACTATGTTATGTTGTCATGTGATCATAATTATGTAGATGTCGCTGTTAAACTTGATTTACTACTTTTACTCTGTGGTGTCTGGTGTAGTCTCAAAAGTCTAATAACCAATTTGTTGATTCCTATTAAATATGCAACTATTATTTTTGCTAAATCAATAAGCTTACAGAATTGCATGGGTAATGAATTTGATGCAACATCTCTATCTATGATGTGACATATTATCTACATATTATACGACATGACCGGGGCCCAAAAATGACAGCATTTGAATCTTTGAAACTTAAATCTCAAATTCACTTATGCCCGGTTCCTATATTTAACGAATCGTCATTGTATACGCATTACGATCAAATGACATTACGAATAGTTATTTTGACCGTCTACTGACAGTTAATATATTTATAAGAAAACCACAGACACCATAGATCTCCATACAATTCGCTTACCGATATCCGTTAGTTGCAAACCGTCAGTAAGTTGCACGACGAGACGTTTATTATAGGAACGGTTTTAGCTTACGATTCGTACTTATATAAAACTACTATTCGCAATTAAAACGGATCGTTTCTCAATTATAGGAACCGGGCGTTAATCGACGAACCAAGCTACCCGCTGCTATATCTATGTTTCTATGTATAACTTTATTTCTCTTTTGTTTCAGAGTACCGGAATTTTCTGTACGTTCTTCCTAGCTCAATCGATTAAGGAAAGACGTAGGGCGTCCATCAGAAATTCCACGTCCATCAGAGATGGGAACTTCGCGTCTCCTGATGATTCCTTACTGGCAGCACCCACCGCTCCCGCTCCGACCTTACCTAAGTATTAGTAATTTAAGATAATAAAAAAAAAAACATTAGACCCGCCAAAAGTTCCACTACTACTACTAACTTCGTTTAAATTTAAAGAATGGATAGGTAGCGACAGTGATGTATTGTAGCTAACTTCAGATTAATAAGCATTTACGTGAAGTTTGCATTTTACATTTTTCATTTTGTCGATAGGTTAATCTGAAGTTTTCTTTAAGATAAATGTCTCTATCGACTGCCTTTATTCGTGCTTGTAATACTGTCCAGTAGGTACATAGGTATTTATTTTGAAGTAAAAAAAAAACAGATAAAAAATATAGATTACTTACCAGTTTATGCCCTGTTAATATAAGGTGAAGGTTGTATTTATGAGGTTATGAAAATTGATAACAGGCTATTTTCGGAATTTTGACACGACTGAAAATTTACTTTAGAGAAGGAAAAAGCAATATATGTACAATGTTATATTTATACGACCATTAAATAACAGTCACAAACTATATAAATAATAATAAGTACCTAATGATTCTAATGTGAAATTTCAATAATTAACTAGGTAGTTCTTAAAAGAATAACTTTAAAAACGTTCTTGCCACAAATCAATATTATTTACTATTGTATTATCATAAGGTATTTATTAAAAATATTCTAATGAAACTATTTATTTAAATTAAAAAGCAGCAAACCCCGTCCATCATGATAATCTTGCGATCATTAGCAAGTTATTATTAAGAAAAAAAAATGTCACATAGTTCATTCACTCCAAATCAACTGCAGAAATGGTGTTACACGGGTTTTTTAAGTATTTAGAATCAATTCTACTATATATTTTCTTGCTATCTTTTATATGTTAAATGTGACAAACATTATTCTAGGTAAAACAAGGCCCATGTCATGTAGTGCGAGTTGGCTTTACGCTAAGACGATCGAAACGCTTATGACGTTCGGCGTTCTGATTGGCTTACTCCAAATTCACCAACCAATGAGATGGCTCAACGCGGTTACGTTTAGTTTGCGTTAAGGTAAAGCCAACTTGACTATGCATTCGGTTCATCAGAGAATGCTGCTGCCTGTTCTCAAGTTTTTAGACCTTTAGGCCTTTAATCAGATCCTCCTGTACTCACAAGGAGAGGAAAACTAGGAGTGTATTTTGCTCAGCCACGCAGCTGATAGGACCTTCCAATGTTTACATAATATGACTTTTCCGTCCACCGCTAAGAATACGTGCATAATTTGAATACAATGAATACTTACATCCTTAATTGGTATGTTTTCAATGGAGGTACATAAACACATAATTAACCTTGGCCGTTGGGATTTTATATTATTTATATAAGTACATACTTATATACGTATTGTAAGTAGATGTGACTTTACATATGAACTTCTAAGCTTCTAAATTGTAAACAACATTGGTTTCTTAAGGGAGACTATCGCTCACAAGGAACTTCTAAAATACTTTGGTCATTTCCTTTTAAAAAAATTAACAAAAATGCAGTCTGAAATCGTGACAGTGTTCATTTGACGCACAATGCTCACTTTTCCAACAGACTGACAGACCGACTGACTGACTGAATTACCGTAATTGTTCGTAAAAAATCAGTAGGTAGGTACTACTGCTGATCAACAGATGAATGCGATGTCATGTTAAATTATTAGGTGTTAAATTTTATACGTAAAAGTCAGGTGACGAGCGGCTAACTATACTTTACTTACTTACATTAATTAAAAACATCTACAAATACTTGTAACATAGCCGTTTGCAAAATTAGCTTTATGTATAAACGATTAAAAAAATTTGTTCTTCTCACACCCGGTTTCTGAAAGGCTTGTCAACGCTAAAATTAACTAATTTCCTGTCAAGTCATCTGATTGGTTGTTGATAATTCAGTCAACCAATCAGATGACTTGACAAGAGATTAAATTGATTTTAACATTGATCGGCCTTTCGGAAACCGGGTGTAAGTCTGCTTCATTGAACGAAAAGGTAGTCTGTCTCAAGTCTCAAGTCTGGTAAACAAAAAGGTTTTCTATCCGGTACTAACTTACTTCTGTGTGCAATGACAAATGTTTTAAATGACGTCACAGATGACTTGTCTCTACTTTACGATACTACTATTTAATTAACAGTAACTTTATCTATGAGTCGCTTTCATGAGAAACATGAGCGATCTTTGTAAATAGTGTATTATGTCTTGACACATAATTATGGCTACACGTTAAGTTATAAAAGCCAATTTACCATGGCCTCACTTTGAATGATCTTTCAGCACATTTTACAGTCTGTTAATGTTGGTTTTGTTTGATATGTAGTCTGTGTAACTACCGAGACGCAGTGTCTCAATGATTATTTTGTTATACTGTAGCGACTTTATTTAAGACTAGAAACGTTTTTCAGTATTTGAATGACATGTTTCTGTCGCTAAAGAAACTGAAAAACCAATAGCCAAAAACTGTGTAGCAACTAAGCGTCGCAAGAAAACTATTAGGATTACTGATACAGTCAGACCCGAAGAAAAAAAACAATATTATTATTGATGTATATACATATATACACTTAGTTGTGTTATGTATACTAATATGTTAACTTATTATTGTTCTGTCCGTTTGTCATCAAACTACAAGGTAACTGCAACGTCTCAAGGAAAACATTTTTCCTTAGGTTCCAACTCATTGAGGTTGCAATTGCACAACTGTTATTTAATTAAATTGCAACAACAACAGCATTGCGTGAGCTAAGTCACAAACTTATGTTACAAATAACAATTGCTTTAGAATACCTATAATAATTTATTGAGATAACAAATAAACTTTACTTATTATAATGAAAGGCTTCCGGCGACTGGGACCACAAAAACTCGGACCGCGGTCCTAGAAACCGAATCCGTAAAAATTAAATAATTTTCTTCCGGCGACAAGGGACCACTCATAAATGATACCTGAAAAAAAGTACAGGCAAACGAACAATTAGGTACGTTTCTTTTTTATTTACTTTTTTAAATCTCCAAGGAATGGTGTAAGTACATGCCCTTGCCAATAAAATTGTAATTTTACTTTACATAGTACCTAAACATAAGTTATGAAGCTGTGTCCATGTTGGGCAACATTTAAAAGAAGATCAAAAAGGTACGTCATCCTCGATTCTTGCCAATAAATTTATACAAAAAACAAAATCTCGGTAGTCCCTCGTTAGTCACATTCTATTTCGTTTTTTTTTAAAGTCTTTATAACCTACCTAAATCAGAGGTGAATCTAGAATTAATACCTGTGCCACGAACGTCAAGTTTTTTTTCTGTTTGTAAAAATCAAATCAACGAACACCTAAGCAGCAGCAACATCTTCTAAAAGTCCATCCCCGTAAAAATAATTTACAATACAACATACTATTTATGAAAGACTTTAAAGAGTTTATTTGGTACGAACTTCTACTAGTGACTTCTGGTAAAAAGTAGTCTATGTGTTATTTTAGACTATACCTATGCCAAATTTTATTTAGATCGTTTTAGTAGTTTCACTTCACATTAGTGAAAGAGTAACAAATATCCATACACATGCTAACAAAGTTTCACGTTTATTTATACATACATAGATATGTATAGTAGGATTAAATTAAGCGCTAATTTATAAATAGTTTATAATTTTAGAATAGAGTGTGTGTGGGTTGTGCATTACCTAAATATTATAAATGTGATTTATATTTAGTACCCTAGCCGTCTACCAACTGACGAATTTGTTAATTGTAAGTAAAATATTTATAATAATTTATTGTTTTGTACGTTTTTAATATCAATAAATTATACTGTATTTATTTTCTTTTGTTTTATTTGATCTCTATACATATAGATATACATATAGGTATATATCAACCATTAATGTACCCAAGTAAGTTTTACAGGTAAGGTAGCTAATAATTTTAGCTATAAAAAATCAATTGTCTTTAATAATTTCTAGATCCATGTTTTAACTTTATTATGTTTAAAAAAAACAATATACATATAAATATGTAAAAATAAATGACTTCGCAACTTCAACTTGATAAAAATAAACGATAAAGAAGTCGAATAGATACCTTTAACAAAAGAAGTATAATTCAAAAACTGAACCAACTCAGTGAGTGGCTTCACACATACCTATACATATTATGTACGTGCTTACTAGCTTATTGCAAAATCCCACAGCAATAAATAATAAATCAATAAAAATCACAAATAAAACGGCATTACGTCAAAATCTTGCGTACACCTAAAGGGCATAAACAAGTATTGGAAAGTGTTCGCGACTTCTTTACACACTTTCTCCCTTCGCCGCTTGTTTATGGTCAGGGCACGAAGTCTCCACTTTTTGCTAAGTCGAATGGTGACTTGAAAGCGACATAACAACATGCCTGTCTAGGTAGTAGCTACTCCATTGGTATTCTTGAAGTTGCCTGTCTGACGACGAAATTGCGAAAATGTATTCACAATTTATTTATTACTTTTCGTTTTATGGAGCAAGCTTTGCCTTCTGCATAATGGCCGCCAGTGACGTCACATTTTCCCGCTAATATTTTAAGCGTACCTACGTAAATAAGGCACAAGAGAAGAATGGAGATTCCCGCGTACGTATTTTACATAGTTTGGTACGTAAGTAAGTACGTATGTGCTCGGCAATTGTATTGTTAATTTAATTACTACCCTCGTCTGGTTTATTGAACTACCTTCTATCATTAATTATAATAAAGTCTGTGCCTACCTACCCAACATCTACTTAAATAAATATTTAATTTAAATAATTAATTCCGTAGCTATGAGGAAAAACAAAAGTTGTATTTCTATTTCGCCACAACCTTTCGTTACCTTCGTGAAACTGCTGGGATAAGCCATTAAGTACCTACAGTTTGTACAGTTAGCAGAAAAAAAAACATGAAAATAACGTTTAAGTTGCTCATAATGCCATTGGAGGAGAAGAATATAATATACAACCATTATGCAACATACTGTGAAACGCAGGAATTCTTTATCCTTTTTGTTTATCACAGCTGGTGGAACAAGCCAAGGGCCATGGACCCCGCAATCCATGGCCCTGTATTCTCTACGCAGCCATCTTCAGCCTCCTGCAACTTCGAGCCTTCTAAAGTTTTTAAGCATTCGGGAAATCAAATCTACCACTATCTAGGGGCCAGACTGCAGAAGCGAGCTCCGAAAAATTACCGGCCATCACCGATCATATTTACAGAGCGTACACGAACACCACTTGTATTTGTTACAATACATCTATGACTTTAATTCTTTTTTTAAAATTTTCAAAATCTCTGTCCTAAGTAGGTTTAACCAATAGGTAACTTTTAACCAATTGGTATTTTGAAGAGCAGCCAGTTTTAAGGCACTGCATTAAAAACACAAAAAAAGAAAAAAAAACCGTTCCTAGATTTATTAAAAAAAATCATCCAAATCTACTTGAAAGAGATCCTGTTGAGATGAAATGTGCGAGTGGGATAGAGAATTTCTGTAGGCGCGAGTGTAAGCGAGATAGACGACAGGTGAATGAGGGGTCATGAATAGGACTACCATACCTTTCCGATTTTTATCGAGACTCTCGTTATGGACAAGGACAAAGGATTTGTGATACAATTTTATTTATTTTATTTTACACGAATACTCAGTAGTTTTTATTATTTTTAAAATTGGAAAATAATTTAAACAAGTTTTATTTAGTATAATGTTTTTTTAATGATTGCAATTAATCATCAATCGCTGCTACCTTTCTTCTTCTAATAGATCTATATAAAAAAGATTTGTGTCTAGCAAGAAAATATTTTGATGTAGTGACGCTATAACCTTATATTGAAATAATTAATACGTAAATTAACAAGTTTTTACCATTAAACGTCATACATACGTAGGTAACTTGTTGGTACTGACTCAACGTAAACCCCCAGATGGTCACCCTAAGCATGATTCATGGAACCCAAGCGGTGTGCGGGGGGGACGCGCCGCCATCGCGATCTCTTGCTTATTTTCTTTAGTAGCATTTCCAACGTCACAGCAGGTGGGTCACGCTCGCGCTCCGCTCACATAAACAAGTAACCGCGAGTGACATTGTGCGATTGTGTGTGAACATATACCAACAGTGTGTACAACTCATTCAAGATGGGATGTGGAACGAGTTTTGTGAAATATGTGCTGTTCTTCTTCAACTTGGTGGTCGCGGTGAGTTGGGGAAAGGGCGGGCTTCGAACCGGTTTGTTTGGATCGTGTTCCGGTAGACGGCTGATGGCTTGACCAGCCAACAGTGAAACTGACGCCCTACGTTTGACCAAATGACCACCAACAACTATTGAAAGTTCATAAACGCATCGCACGTGTGGCTACTCCTATTTTTGCAAATGTCAGACGCGAAAGCTAACGCGATATTTTAAAATAGTTCCGATGATAATTTTCCAACAAATTACCTTGTTACTTAAAAAATACACAACTATTTCACCTAAGTTAACTTATAAAATTTATTTTCAGTAAAATTATCACAATAATTTACATTCTAAATCTTAAAAATAACAAGGAGGTACAAACTTTACCAAATCTTCTATTTCTGTCTTTCGTCAGCAATACGACGGAGATGGAAAACGTCTTCTCTCTCCGTCTGGTGCGATTTGAAGATAGAATTCGTTCTTTGGTCATTCAATAATTTTACGATACCTATCTACCTACACAATAATATGATTTGGCCCTATGGTTTTGTCTGAAATAGAAAGAAAAACATTTAGAAAGAACGTGGATTAAAGTGACATTCAAAACTTTAAAAAATTTAAATATTGGTTAACCAACTACGATTTTTTATTTTAGATAGGTATACTGATATCTCTCTAACCTTGTGGTTTTGCAGTATAGGGATCTTACAATGTATGGCCCCTCAGTCCCTCGCTTCCCGCCCCGTAAATAAGTATATGGAAATTAGTGTTTTAAAAATTTTGATCCAGGTTTGATTATAGGCATATAGGTAGATATACCTGGCTAGACACCTACATTAACCTTAGCCACATCCTACAGTGTAGATAACTACCTAAGTTTTTAGTTAACTAAGTAGAATGTGCCTAATTCATAGTAAAATATACCTACCTATTTATAGAACCTAAGTACCTACCTACTGATATGCCCACTGGTTTAGCAGAAAACCAGTTTCACTGCAAACGCGTGGTATGTAATAAGTTTTAAATAGTTCTGACATAAAATATCCTGATGAATCATAACAATGCGTCAGGTATTGCTTATTGCATTTTACCACCATAACCAGTGCCTAGTCAATGTCAGAGACAAACAATATGACATCATGGTATGTTTATACTTCCAAGTAGGTTCGTTAGGAAGAAGCCTACACTATGGTTACAAAGAATTTGATCTCATGTTTAATCTACATCTCTGCATTTTTCCTCGTATTGTCTTTTCGAACGTGTCTGGCAGAATGTCGTAAAACAACGTTTCGGATTAAGTCACGTAGCAAGTCAAATAAAGACTGACTAATCAGTATAATATCAATAAATCAATCTCATCTAATTTGTGGAAGGCAAATAAATATATTTATTAATTTCACTAGAATAATAGGGACGACCTAGATCCACTAGTTGATAAGCGAGATATCTGAACTTCGGATTGAGCTTTTAGCTTTACACAGTGACTTATTGATGAAAAATTTCGTAACCAAACATGGATCCTTGTTTACTTACAATATAATTTTGGTATTTGAACTACCTATTTTATTTGCAGACGTACTTGAGCCGCCATTTTCCTTAATATACAGCTGTCCTTTGTACAGGAGTAGTCAATGTTAAAGAATCCGTACTTTATGCCTTGGAATGAACAGATGTACAAACATTAGTAACGTATTACTGTCATCTTGCCTACAGCTTGCGTTTCATTGAATGTTACATGGCCTGACCTTGGTTCACGACTGCTTGGCACTGGAGTAATTACATTTAATACTAAGTTACGCGCTGATGTTGCTGTGTATGATAAAAACCGATTGTTAATGTTCATATTATAAAATGTTAACAACTGGTTTTAAAGGAAATTAGTTTCGATAAATAACCCTGAAATTATCACCTAATGTTAAATTTTGACGAAACCACGCCGATAACTGTGAGGTTTTGTTATTGTGGTTAGGTCAACGTGGACAATCTAATCTATCAATCTAATATCCAAAAATACCTATGTGTATTCACATAGGTATTTTTGGATAGATTAGATGTGATAGTAAACGGGATCCTCGGTATATTTGTTGACCCAAAAAATGTGTTGTCCCATTAAGTGCCGCTAAATAACGAGCCAAACCATTAATGGTTTCTCTATTGAGAATATTCGTTTCATTAATTACATTTAAAAGCTTACGTTTGTGAGGCCAAAAATATCCATGGCAGGCTTTTCCGTACATTTGTTTAGCAGTTTTAGTGAAACATCGGGCTTATATCTACATTTGTTTGGGCTAAACTGGTGGCCAACTTATTAATTTTCTTGGGGAACTAGGTTAACAATGAGGATTGCGTGATAAAAGTCAATTTTCCTCACTCATTCACCCCCCGAAAGTCAACAGGTGAATTCATTGAATAATTAATGAAGAGATACTGTCTTGTTTTGGTAATTCTCTCGACGAAACTCTAATTCTAAAGTAACTTACAAACTGTTATAGTGTCGTAAAGTTTTTAGTCTCGACAATTAAGCGTAACACCAGTAAGCGACATCAAGGCCATCAGCCACTACCATTTTACGTCTCGCAATCCAATGAAATAAGTATGTACAGATTTTACGATAACTGAGATATACTTACTTACTAGTATTTTCCTTAGAAATAGGTCAAGGAAAAGTCCCTGGGCTGGTTTCGAAGGATAACTGCGAACGTGATCGTGACTCAAGGCTAAAACCCGAACTTTATCCTTATGCGTGACGTAATAGAAGCCAAGACTTAGTAATAATAAACCTTGCATTTTCGCATTTTTTTTCTCAACAAGCAAGGCTAAAACATCAGTAGTAGGAAACAATAACAGTTTCTATTTAATGTTGCTATGTTACAATATTGATTCCCTAACAAGGTTCTTCGCATAATAAAGTTTACAGCTAGTGATTAATCAGGATATTTCGTCCCATTGTTAGAGCAATAATGTCATCGTTGACTATACTGGTATAATCCATGATATTCAAACATGGTACACGTGACCTGGCCCGAGGTGACATCATCGCCCGACCGCCTTTGCCGCCAAACCGGCGCCCACAACACAACATGCTTGCCCTTACTATAGTAAACGTCCTTTTATTTCATAATAGGTAATTGGATCCTTTTTGGCAAAGTATTTAAAATAGAAATTATACTGGTTGCCTTTTCTATTAAATCATTTCCGATTTGAATGAAATAGAATGTTGTAACGTACCAATTCGATTATTTAAAAACGTTTAGTGGACCCCAAATAATGTCGGTTGGAGTCCAGAATAAGAAACTGGTTTTAAAACTGGTTTCTTGTATGCGAATGTTGGCAACATCCAGTGTTGATGCAATAGTTTTTTTTTTTAACAAACGTATACGGACGTTGCACAGTACAGGCCTTGTGATTGCGTTTCTCTTTGGAAATCCTCCTGGATTATTTGATTAAAAAAAACGGAAAAATTGTCTACGAACTTTCGGTAAATAAATAATAAATTTCAGTTTTCTTGTCACAGGTTTTTCTTAAATGCTAGGTATTCATAAGAGAAATCTATTTTATTAGTTATTTGTATCCAAACGATACTGTTTTTTTTGGTTTTCGTTTCGGATTTTATCCAATTAAACTGACAGTTTAATCCGACGGTGAATATTTATCGAACCATCTTATACGTACTTATAATAATATAAAACTGAAATGCTGTTCGTTAGTCTCACTATATTTCGAGAATGGCTAGTCCGATTTAGCTAATGTTGGTCTTGAAATACTCGTAGAAGTCCAGGAGTTTGAAAGGTCAGAAAACATTAGTTATTTTTGAGGCGAAACGAAGTTTGCCGGATCATCTAGTTATGTATAAATAAGAAAGTTATCAAAAGGACTCGGCGGTATTAGAAATCATCAACAACATCAACGGACAATCATAACAAAAAAACATATAAAATTTTTAAGTGTGGGAGAGCCATGCTTCGGCACGAATGGGTCGGCTCGACCGGAGTGATACCACGGCCTAGAAAACCGGTGTGAAACAACCACAGCTTTGTGTTTCACCGTGTGAGTGAGGTTACCGGAGGCCCAATCCTTCCCCTCCCCCAATACTTCCTCAATCCCCAAATCTCCAAATCCCTAATCCCTAAAAGGTCGGCAACGCACTCGTAACTCCTCCGTTGCGGGTGTCCATGGGCGGCGCTGATTGCTTACCATCAGGTAATCCGTCTGCTCGTTTGCCGACCTATTAAGTACCTACATAAAAAAAACATTGAAAACCAAAGAAAATGTTATAAACACTCTTAGAGCTTGTATTATGTAAAGTAACTAGCCAACATCCATTCAGCGACGTCATTGAGAGCAATCATTAGTCATACAAACAAAATCTTTGTAGGTAGGTAATACGAATTCGTATAATTTTGACATAACCACACAAGATGAGATCACGTTCTAAAACTTCACTTTCCGTTTCAAATATATTATGTGTATTTTGCAAGCAAGTCTGCGATGTAACTAATGTGTAATTTTTTATAATTTTTCAACACCTTTTTTTATGTCGTGCGGCAGACGAGCAGACGGATTACCTGATGGTAAGCAATCAGCGCCGCCCATAGACACTCGTAATACCAAGGCAGTTACTACAAGTGCTTTGCTAGGCACCTGTGGGTTTTAAGGGATTTGAGGATTGAGAATGGGGGGGGGGGAAGGATTGGGCCTCCGGTAACCTCACTCACACGGCCAAACACAACGTTAAGTGTTGCTTCACGTTGGTTGTCTGTGAGGCCATGGTATCACTCCGGTCGAGCCGACCCATTCGTGCTTAAGTAACGTATAGGTACTATACTCAGTATATCTATAATATAAAAATGATTCGAAAGTATGTTGGTAAGCGCATAACTCAAAAACGCCTGAACCAGTTTTGCCAATTCTCGTTTTATGTTTAGTTTGTTATTGTCAGGAGAAGGTTATTATGAAAGATAATTTTAGAAAAGTAGTGGAGGAAATCGGGAACTTTCAACCGGTTGGATACTCGTGCGAAGC